TACCCCCAGAATCCAGACAGCATGATCAACACCCAGAGTCTGGAGGACAGAGCCATTGCCCAGATGGTCTCAAAGAACAGATGATTATTTCTAAGCCTTCAGAGTGAATGTAATTTGTTCTGCTGAGTTTTGGACTTGCTTGGTTCCAGTTATCCCTTCTTTCCTTCCAATTTCTCCCATCTGTAATGGAAATATCTCCCTTGTGCCTGTTCTAGCATTGTACTTTAGAAACAGTTAACTTGTATTCTAAATTTCACGGGTTCACAGGTGAAGAGGAATTTTGCGCTATGGAATGGAATACGCCTAAAGTCTCACCTATATTTGATTTAGATGATTCAAAAGATGAGATTTTGGACTTGAAGTTAATTTGAGACTTTCGGGATGGTGTGATGGGGTGAATGTGTTTTCTAAGTGGGAAGGATATGAATTTTGGGGGCCAAAGGGTAGAATGTTATAGACTGAATTGTGTCCTCCAAAAATATGTGTTGTAAATCCTAACCCCTATACCTGTGGTTATAATCCCATTTGGGAATGGGTTGTTTTTGTTATGTTAATGAGGCATGTTATGGACTGAATTGTGTCCCCCAAAGTTATGTAATGTAAATCCTAACTTCTATGCCTCTGGTTATAATCCCATTTGGAAATTGGTTGTCTTTGTTATGTTAATGAGGCATGTTATGGATTGAACTGTGTTTCCCAAAATTATGTATTGTAAATCCTAACCTCTATGCCAGTGGTGGGGCCCTGCTGGCAAAGTGGTTAAGAACTATGGTGAGCTACCGCTGCTAACCAAAATGTTGGTAGTTTGAATCCACCAGCCACTCCTTGGAAACCCTATGGGGCAGTTCTTCTCTGTCCTATAGGGTCACTATGAGTCAGAATTGACTCAATGGCAATGGGGTTTTTTATGCCAGTGGTTATAATCCCATTTGGAAATGGGTTGTCTTTGTTATATTAATGAGACAGGATTAGTGTAGAGTGTGTTTTGCATCAATCTCTTTTGAAATATAAAATAGATTAAATAAGCAAGTGAGAAGCAGAGATGGGGGAAGAGAGATGCCAAGCCATATGAAGATCGCCCAAGAGCAGAAACTCAACAAGACAAGTACCTTCCTCCAGAGCTGACAGAGAAAGCCTTTCCCTAGAGCCAGCACCCTGAATTCAGACTTCAGGTGGCTGCAACAATGGGCTAAAGCACAGCAACAATTGTGAGCATGGCGCAGGACCGGGCAGTGTTTCGTTATGTAGTACATAGGGTTGCTATGAGTTGGAAATGACTTGACAGCACCTAACAACAACAACAGCCTCCTAAACTGTGAGAAAATAAACTTCTGTTTGTTAAAACCACCAATTTATGGTATTTCTATTATAGCAGCACTAGATAACTAAGACAAGGCACTATTAGTATAGGGTGCATCTTAAGTAAATCTCTTTTGAGATATAAAAAGAACAGATTGTGGGAGCAACCAAGCAAGCAAGCAGAGGGGGAAGATAGATGCCACGCCACATGAAATCTCCAAGGAACCAAGAAAACAGAAGCTGAAAAGAGACAAGGACTTCTCCCCAGAGCCAACAGAGAAAGAAAGCCTTCCCCTAGAGCTAGCACCCTGAATTCAGACTTCTAGCCTCCTAAACTATGAGAAAATACATTCATTTGTTAAAGCCAACAAATTGTGGTATTTCTGTTATAGCAGCACGAGATAACTAAGGCATACTGTGACCCAGCAATTCTATTCCCAGCAACCCACTTTGCTAAAGAAACATTCACATATGTATCCAAGGATATTCACTAAAACATTATTTGTAACAGTGAAAAATATAAAACACCAAAATGTCTATTAGCAGGGGAATAAACTATAATATCCAGGCAATACAAGAGTTAAATAAACTGACATACATTGAAGGTTCTCCAAGTGATGTTATTAAGTTTTTAAAAAGTTAGAAACACACAGAACAATGTTCTAAAACAAAACAAATCAATTCTATTACTCCTAAAGGTTCATGTTTGTATGTAAATGCACAGATAAAAGTCTGGAAAGAAGCCACCAGATTGATACCAACAGTTAACTCTGGGTAGAGGACTGTGTTGGGGTAAGGGAAAGTCAAGGGAGATTTTAGCTTTATCTATATTGTTTTAATTTATAAAAATAAAGAGTATATTCATTTATTACTTACATAATTTAAAAATGAATAATAATTATGACACAAAACTATAAATTCTATAATAGGGGCATGGGCAAAATCTTGTGGGAACACAGTGAAAGAAGAAATTTTAGTTTCGTGTGTAGAAGGATTTTATAGCAATAGTGACATTTGAGTGGTGCCTTATCATTTAAATCTGATCTTCTCAAGCTTTAATAAGTTGGTGGAGGATTGTAGCAGATTGTATTTTCCAAAGATGTCTGTATCTGTATCAATACACATCCCATCCCACATGCTCTTCTTTCAAATGACATTGACATTCCTCCATGGAGAAGTGGGGGTCTATGTTCCCTCCCCTTGAACTTGGGCACAACTTTGTCATTGCCTTGATGAATAGAATGGGTGGAAGCATCACAGCATGACTTTGAGGCTATTTAGCTTCTGCCTGGCCCTTTTTTTCACAGGATGCTCACCCTTGGAACACAGCCACCATGCTGTGAGGAAGCCCAAACTAGTCCACGTAGAGAGATCACATGGAGAGGCCCACATGGAGAGAAACTGAGGCACCCAGCCGACAGCCAGCATCAATTGCCAGACATGTGAGTGAAGGAGCCTTCAGATGTTTCCTGCCCCCAGCCTTCGAGTTCTCCAGCTGAGGCCCAGACATACATTGTGGGGCAGAAAAGCCATCCCTACTGTGCCCTGTCCTAATTCCTGACCCAGAGAATTTGTGAACATAATAAATGGTTGTTCGATGTCAGTGAGTTTTAGGGTAAGTGCTACACAGCCAAATAACTGGAACAAAGAAATTCAAAAGCGAAGAAACTATACAAGAAATGGAATGTAGGTGTCAGAGAGCATCATGAGTACTGGCAGTTATGGGTGATGAGGCCACAAGGTTGAGACCAGACTATGAAGGTCTTATATAACAGTATGCAACCATCAGACTTATCCTATTGGCAGTGAAGAACTGTTGAAAGTTTTTATGCTGGGAAGTGAAATGCTAAGATCTGCATTTTAGCAAGATAACTCTGAGACCAGTGTGAAGTAAAGATCAGAAAAGAGAAAGACTTAAAAATAGGAAAAGCCCCTCCAATTAACCCAGTGAAATGGTGGAACCATGCCATGGGCTACATGTTTTTTGGCCTTTCACTCCTTAGAGATGCCCCTGATGTTCATTTATACTAGATTTCACTTGTATTAAAATACAAGTGTCAGGGGAATGTTAGAATTCAAAAGTTCCCTGATGGAGCAGGAGAAAGGTAGGGTGCAGAACTCAAATTCTAGTAAAAAGATCAGACTTAATGGTTCGACTGAAACTGGAGGAACCTCAGAAAGCATGGCCCCCAGACTCTCTGTCAACCCAGAACTAAAACAATACCCGAGGCCAACTCTTCAGACAAAGATTGGACTGGACTGAGGGACATAAAATGATACTCGTGAAGAGTGTGCTCCTTAGCTCAAGTAGATACGTGAGACTAAATGGGCAGCTCCTGTCTGGAGGTGAGATGAGAAGGCAGAGAGGGTTAGGAGCTGGTTGAATGGACACGGGGAATCGGGTGGAAAGGAGGAGTGTGCTGTCACAGTATAGGGAGAGCAACCAGGGTCGCATAACAGTGTATGTATAAATTTCTGCGTGAGAGACTGACTTGAATTGTAAACTTTCACTTAAACTACAACAATAAAAAAAAAAAAAAAAAGAATCCAAAAAGTTTTCCTTATTGCTCTTCTTTCAACTTCTAGATCTGGACCAGTTTACTTAAGGTGGATTCTAAGAATACAAAGCGAGCTGTTGAAAAAATTGTAACCATTATTTGTGTGAATAATGCCATCTTTATACAAGTATCACCATAACCCCCAATTTCTTTTTGTGCCCATTAAAATAACCCCATCTTTCTCACCATTGGCTTCATAAGGAAACTGTATAAATATGAACTTGTAAAATAGAATAAATCTACACTAATAAACTATAGCTTTTATATTTTGTATATCAGGGTTCTAGATAAGATTTCCGTTGAAAAAAGGATGAAAGAAAGAAAGACGGAGGGAGGATGGGTAACTTGAGGGGCATTGTCCAAAGAAGAAGGGGAAGATGGAACTCAAGACATAAGGAGGTATCTCTGTGATAACAGAAAGGATATATGAACGAAAGTAAAAGCAAAGATATGTATATGAGAGGATGAAAGATAATAATGAGAATGTTTCACTCTCATCTTGGCAGAAGGCCTTGCCTGCTACTTTGTAAGAAAATCAAGAAGAATGTATTGAAAATTTAGTGTTTTTGGAGAATGGATCAGAGCAACAGTGAATCCATCAGATCCTAAAAAGATCTTGAGCAGCTGTAGAGCCCTGGATTTTGATAGTATAATTTATTGGAGACCAGTTTTGCATAATTTTATACTCAGCCTTTTTCTAATGTTAATTATTCAAGAGATGATTAACCAATTTGTAGGATTCCATGCATCTCAATTTTTCACATTTTCCCCTAAGCCTGCTTTTGAAAAAATGTCATAATTTAAACTTTACATCAAAAGGAAGTTAATAAAAAGAATAAAAGGAGCTCCAATTAATATTTCTGTGCTTTATCATTTTTAAAAGATATTAGTTAATACTTTTTGAAACCATGAAAAAGAAAAAGTAAAATTGAGAAAAACCATTGAAACAAATGGTAAAACAAGATTATAGGACCATGTGTGAGTCGAATTTATCCATGTTAGTCTCGTCCCTCATTATCAAAGTTAGTTAAAAGCCAACTATTGCTACAGTTCACAAAATAAAATCTGATTAAAAACAATTCCTGCCAGTGTTTCTTATTATTCAGGTTTCTGAGTAAACTTCCAATTCTTTAACCAATTTACCTGCATCCCAGAGGTTACAAACCTCTGCCTCCCCTTCTGACATCCATGTAGCTGAAGAGATAATGGAAGGAGGTATTTCGGGCAAAAGTGGCTTCAGATCATCATCATAAAATAACATCAGGTCCTGACAGAAAACAAGAGAGAACACAACAGTTGAAAAAACAAAAATTCATCTCACTGCCTAGTTACAATGGATGTACAATTTATAGAGCTACAATATGTGTATGTATACTAACGTTATCTCTACATTTTGATTTAAGCAAATTACACATAAATTGTCTATACACTTGGGTACCGATTAAGTGTAGGGTAGTTTTCCTTCACTGGAAATCCCACTCCTTGCTGGAGACACCTCATGTAGACAGGCAATGATTTTGTTTGGGGCATTAACTTTCCCTGGGCATCCCTGAAGCGTACTATCTCAGTGGCCAATTATTTTGTTTTATTGGTAATAATAAAGCAACCTGCATGTATCTTTTATTCAGATTTTAAAATTTTAATTTTTTATCATGGAGTCTAAAGTAAACAGAATAGACAATCAGCTGAATCACATAGGTTAAACAATTATCAACTCATGGCCAGTCTTGTTTCATTTACATTTCTACCACTCTCCACCTGTTATATTTTGAAGCAAATCCTAGATATATCACTTACTTCAATATGTACCTCTAAATGACAAGAATTTTCATAACAAAACAATAATTGTATCACACTTATATAACTTTACAATAATTCTTTAATATCATCAATTATCACAAACTGCTCAAATTTTCAGTTACTCATAAATGTCATAAACAGATTTTTCTACATATGTTTGAATGAGGATCCAAATCCAGTGGCATTGGTTGATATGTCATTTTTTTCTTCTGTGAGTTGGGGATTTTTTTTTTAATAATTAATGCTTTATTGAAATAGAATTAACATACAGTAAAATACACAAAACTTAAGTGTAGAGCTCAATAATTTTTCACATATATACCCATATAACCACATTTCCTTCACTCCAGGAAGTTCCCTCAAGCCTTTTTCCACTTGATACAATCCCCACAAGTTGTTTCGATTCTTCTGCAGTTGGACATCTGGGTTGTTTCCAAATTTTGGCTATTATGAATAAAGCTACTAAGAACATTCTTGTATAAATCTTTTTGTGGACAAATGCACTTATTACTCCCAGACATATACATTAGAGTAAAATTGCTGGGTCTAAGGATAGATTTATTTTTAACTTTCATTAGAAACCATAAAACCATTTTTCAAAGTGATTATGCCAGTTTTTAAAATTAAACTTTTGGAGATAATTTTATGTTCATATTCAGTTGTACCTCCGTGCACGTGTCAGTTTTTCGTACAGTGGTGGCTTGCGTGTTGCTGTGATACTTGAAGTTTGCCACCAGTATTTCAAATACAAGCAGGATCACCCTGGTGGAAAGGTTTCAGCAGAGCTTCTAGAATAAGACAGACTAGAAAGAAGGACTTGGCATTCTACTTCTGAAAAAATTGGCCAGTGAAAACCTTATGAATAGCAGCAGAACGTTGTCTGACATAGTGCCAGAAGATGAGCCCCTCAGGTTGGAAGGCACTCAAAATACGACTGTGGAAGAGCTGCCTCCTCAAAGTAGAGTCGACCTTAATGACATGGATGAAGTCAAGCTTTCAGGATCTTCATTTGCTGATTTGGTACAACTCAAAATGAGAAGAAATAGCTGCAAACATCCATTGATAATCAGAATGTGGAATGTACGAAGTATGAATCTAGGAAAATTGAAAGCTGTCGAAAGTGAAATGGAATGCATAAACACCAATATCCTAGGCATTAGAGAGCTGAAATGGACTGGTATTAGCCATTTTGAATCAGACAACCATATGGTCTACTATGCCAGGGATGACAAATTGAAGAGAAATAGTGTCGCATTCATTGTCAAAAAGAATATTTCAAGATCTATCCTGAAGTACAACACTGTCAGTGGCAGGAAAATATCCATACGCCTACAAGGAAGACCAGTGAATATGACTATTATTCAAATTTACACGACAACCACTAAGGCCAAAGATGAAGAAATTGAAGATTTTTACCAACTTTTGCAGTCTGAAATTGATCAAACATGCAACCAACAAATTACTGGTGATTGGAATGCAAAAGTTGGAAACAAAGAAAGATCAGAAGTTGGAAAATACAGCTTTGGTGATAGAAACGACGCCGGAGATCGCATGATAGAATTTTGCAAGACCAATGACTTCTTCGTTGCAAATACTTTTTTTCAACAACATAAATCCCGACTATACACATGGACCTCACCAGATGGAATACACAGAAATCAAATCGACTACATCTGTGGAAAAAGATGATGGAAAAGCTCAATATCATCAGTTAGAACAAGGCCAGGGGCCAACTGTGGAACGGACCATCAACTGCTCTTATGCAAGTTCAAGCTGAAGCTGAAGAAAATAAGAGCAAGTCCATGAGAGCCAAAAGACAACTTCGAGTATATCTCACCTGAATTTAGAGACCACCTCAGGAATAGATTTGACGCATTGAACACTAATGACTGAAGACCAGACGAGTTGTGGAATGACATCAAGGACATCATATATGAAGAAAGCAAGAGGTCAGTAAAAAGACAGGAAAGAAAGAAAAGACCAAAATAGATGTCAGAAGAGACTCTGAAACTTGTTCTTGAATGCAGAGCAGCTGAAGCAAATGGAAGAAATAATGAAGTAAAAGAGCCAAAGAGATGATTTCAAAGGGCAGCTCAAGAAGACAAAGTAAAGAATTATAATGAAATGTGCAAAGACCTGGAGTTAGAAAACCAAAAGGGTAGAACACGCTCGGCATTTCTCAAGCTGAAAGAACTAAAGAAAAAATTTAAGCCTCGAGTTGCAATACTGAATGAAAGATTCTGCAGGGAAAACGTTGAACAACGCAGGAAGCATGGAAAGAAGATGGAAGGAATACACAGACTCACTGTAGCAAAAAGAATTGGTCAATGTTCAACCATTTCAGGAGACAGCATATGATCAAGAACCAATGGTACCGAAGGAAGAGGTTTGAGCTGCACTGAAGACACTGGTGAAAAACAAGGCTCCAGGAATTGACAGAATACCAACTGAGATGTTTCAACAAACAGATGCAGCACTGGAAGTGCTCACTTGTCTATGCCAAGAAATTTGTAAGACAGTTACCTGGCCAACTGACTGGAAGAGATCCATATTGTACCCATTTCAAAGAAAGGAGATCCAACAGAATGCAGAAATTATCAAACAATATCATTAATATCACACATGAGTAAAATTTTGCTGAAGATCATTCAAAAGCGGTTACAGCAGTACATCGACAGGGAACTGCTAGAAATTCAAGCCGATTCAGAAGAGGACATGGAACAAGAGATATCATTGCTGATGTCAGATGGATCATGACTGAAAGCAGAGAATACCAGAAAGATGTTTACCTGTGTTTTCCTGACTATGGAACAGCCCTCGACCATGTGGATCCTAACAAATTATGGATAATATTGCAAAGAATGGGAATTACAGAATACTTAATTGTGCTCATGAGGAACGTGTACATAGACCAAGAGGCAGTCATTCGAACAGAACAAGGGGATATTGCGTGGTTTAAAGTCAGGAAAGGTGTGCATCAGGGTTGTATCCTTTCACCAAACTTACTCTATCTGTGTGCTGAGCAAATAATCTGAGAAGCTGGACTATATGAAGAAGAACAGGGCATCAGGATTGGAGGAAGACTCATTAACAACCTGCGGTATGCAGATGACACGACTTTACTTGCTGAAAGTGAAGAGGACCTGAAGCACTTATTGATGAAGATCAAAGATCCCAGCCTTCAGTATGGATTACACCTCAACATAAAGAAAACAAAAATCCTCACAACTGGACCAATAAGCAACATAATGATAAATGGAGAAAAGATTG